AGTATGAGTATGAGTATGAGTATGAGTATGAGTATGAGTATGAGTATGAGTATGAGTATGAGTATGAGTATGAGTATGAGTATGAGTATGAGTATCAGTATGAGTATGAGTATGAGTATGAGTATGAGTATGAGTATGAGTATGAGTATGAGTATGAGTATGAGTATGAGTATTAGTACAATGAGTCTGAGTACAATGAGTCTGAGTACAATGAGTCTGAGTACAATGAGTCTGAGTATGAGTACAATGAGTCTGAGTCTGAAGGAATTTGTAGTTGCTCAAAGTCACTTCAAAGAGGCTAAAATCAGGAAGAGACAAGGCTAGGATTCTATTGAATTTACTTTATGCATTACTGCACTGCTGTTGGTAAATGAGGTACAAATAGAAGGGCTTAAAACTACCAGAAATACTGGAAGTTTTGGCTCCACAGTTTACAGAGCTGGTGGAGATTTGTATTATCCCCCTATGTTCCTCTTCTGAATTGATACAAGTGATGCTGGTGATATAAGGTGCTGATATGAGTGACACTGACACAATTTCTTGCTGCTGATCCAAAACCCACTGATATCATAAATACCATTGAAGGATCAAATTTTGGTTCTTCACTCATTTAGTACAAAGGTAACAAGTATCATGTTATCGTTACAGGATATTGGGTCATTTTCTTTTACTGAAAATTCTGGCTGGCTTGGTCTAAGTGCTGAAAATCTGATTGGCAGAGAGGCACCCACCAAATAGATTTGTGTTTAAGACCAGAACATTGGAATAATAAAATTTGAGTCCTCCCTTCACTGGAGCTGTAGTAGGAATTAGAGCAAGTATTGTGCATGTGCATTGACAACAGTGTGGTGGCATGTGATCATTCACAATCTGTATAATCTTTGTTTTTTTGTTTACTTTTTGTTTATTCCCCTCATTCTATTCTTGATTTGTTACAAGTTTTGAGAACAACAAATTGGGAATTAATAGAGAATAAATGATCATGCACTAACATGATATGCGCCTACAGTACATACAGCCTCAAAACTAATTGGGAATATTATGAAAACATGCAGAGAATTTTATTCCCTATTAATTCATTGTTTATTTCTGTTTTATTCTCAGTCTACTATTTTAAATGTATTCTTCTCAAAGTATCGGTGAAACAGCAGTTAATGGAACCAATGCCCTATTCTTTCTGATAGTAATTCCTCTAGTATTTCCTATGGCTCCTGATCTATTAAGCAAGACCCTTAAAATGAGGATTCAATCAATTGAAAATTCCAAATTCTATTTATGACTTGACCAATCACCAATTGTCATCAATCCAATGTTCAGAAGGTTGTCCAAAGTTTAGCCAAATATAAGAAGCAACAACATCCATCTTTGAATGCTACAAAATTACTAGCTTTCTGGTGGTAGCTACCATCAAAAGTTCAAAACAAGCATACAACAAGGGCTTGACTAGAATTGATGCAACTTGATTTCCAGCTGGAAGCAAGCATTTGTCTGGAAATTCAGACCACTGGAAAGGCATGTAATTATATCTAATGCCTCCTCAGCAGAGCTTGCTTTCAACAATCCTGATATCAGGCCAAGACAACAAGCATATCACTATGTATGTTGCTATCATTAAGACTTCCATATCCCTCAATAATCAATGTAATTGTTATTCCCAACACATTTCCTGGCATGAGTAGTACCAAAGTTTGTGATGGAGGAAATAGTAGGCCTCAGTCTCAATGCTAAGCCTTTTCATAACAGAGAAGTTTGCACTCCTGTCCTTGCCTGTCCATCTCAGAGGAACAGGACCAAGTATCACAAAAATTGTGGGGTATCAAGCTTAAAAGGATCTAATTTTGACACCAGTTGGTTTCTTAACAAACATCCTTGACTAGTATTTCATCTTCTTTGTTACTACTAGTAGGACTGAAAGGAATTGGGGGACCTTATTGATCTCTACAAGAAGCTATGCGTGCCTTTAAGATAGAACTGATATCCTATCAATACGTTTACGCCAAGGCATGGCCCTTTGTCTCTGATACAGCAAGGCAAACATCGACTTGCTTTATAGACAGGGCTACCATTTATGATGGAATAGGAATTGGTGAAAGGCCCTTTGCATTGAGCAATGGAAGCGCATTTCCTAATCCAACTCGAGTGGTGAACTCATTGTAATCTGAATCACACAGAGTCCACATCAATTCCGCAGAGCAACGTTTCACGTATCCATCGACCCATGATAACAAGACGATAAGTTTACCTCGTAAAGTGTCTTTCGGTGCATCCAAAGGACTCATATTCGTCTTTTTCCTGTCCCTGATAAGTTGATTATTACGTTTCTCATTTTCCCTCGGAAAGACGAAATCTTTGACCAAAATCTGAATATTTCGATTAGCAACGGAGTATCGGTTCAAGACAATTAAAATTGGCAAAAGCGTTGCTGCTGCAGATCCCTCTAACCTTGTATTGTCAACGGTGCAATCGACTTGACGTTCAAAAACTTCTAAAAGCGTCCCAAAACAACCATTTTCTATCAAGTATTCGCCGAATGAAGCATCTGAATCCATCAGTAGAGAAATTGCTGCTAATTTACATTCGTTGATTTGTTTCCAAATGTTTTCAGCGGATGCTGTTTCAAGGGATTTGGTCGTAGGTGACAATTTCAATATCCGAACAATCAGTTTCTCTAAAGAAAGGTCGCCATCGTCTGTGGATATTACAGTGGATGGCGCAGCTAGTTCTTGACCTTTTCGCATGGCATAAAAACAGTTGAATATTTCGACAACTAGCTCTGCACCCTTATCTTCAGGATTATAAGTTGGGAATGATGATTCATCATCTAACAACCATCGTATCAGGGACAAACACGCTTTACTGAAATTGATTGTGGTTGGCTCTCGAGGAGCCCATGGAGCTGACTCGGTGGCCCTCAGGGGATCATAATGAATTTTCGCGTCAAGTATGGTCGCCCGAGCACCTGGAAAAGAAACCGTCATGGAATGCAGATTACGCACCAGGGATAGATGAAGGGGAATCGAGTCGTTTGCGACGAGCATTTCAAGGGCGATTTGCGGGAATGATTCGTGATTAATCAAATGATCAATTCCATTGGAAGCAGATTTATCCCCTGGGTGGTGACTGTACGTTGCGTAAAAGATGTAAAGTGAAGCATCACGGGCTAACTTCAGATCGTTGTCGACACTCCATTGCAAAATACTGACTACGGTGCTCAGAATACCAGGTGATCGAAGTATATCCATTTTGCGCCCATCTTGAATTTTGTGTCGTCGTTGTTGAACTTGTCTGTGCTCAACGTAAATTTGAATATACCACCGAAGGATGTTTTTGCCTGTCCTCACTGCACTCCCGAGATTCGGATCGCAGCCATTAGTCTTGCGGTTTGTAAACGCCCTCCGCAATTCTCTCTCAAGTTCCAACACTACTGCATCTAGCGATAATTGCAATGCGTCCTCGTCGAATTCGATCGAATTGGAATTTAACGAAGGTGTGGGTTGTTTGGCAAGATATTCCTCGATTTCTTCATTCCAAAAGATTCTCTTGTTACGCTCAAGGGGTTGGAGTCTAATTGGGAAGTCCATTGTTTTGGTCCAAATCGCTCTGGTGGAGTAAAATATGTTGTGATCGATTCCTCGAATGTTCCATCCAGAATAACATGAAAACTAGGAGCAATGGAAAGTAATATGAAAGTTGAGAAAATTAACGAAGAAGAGTCGATACATGCGACCTTCCGAATATAGGTGATAAGCGTACGAGTACGACGAGTACGTACCATTACTACCGTAATACCGGTACTACCACGGTTGTCATTTTACAACAACTTCGGCGATAAGTTAGAGTTAGGGATAATGGTTATTGGTCTGCTTCGGGCAATTGATGTCGAAGTGAATAGGTTAACCAGGTATCGTACCTACCCAGTATTGAAAACTAAACTTTTCATGTTTAGATAGTTTTTACTTGTACCACTAAAGCCTATTCAGTCCATAGATAGTACTTGAATTTTCTAACCAATTCCCAGATCAATGTCTGCCCAGAAGCAATTTAAAAGCCTACTTCTGGACTCCTGCTGCTAAATTACCATTTCATTCAGCAACCAGGTCTTACTACTAGTAGTAGAGGCACATGATGGCTTGTTGAGTCATTTAGATACTAATAGCAGTTGTACAAAGTGCCTTGTCCTTTTGACCTTTCCATTTTGTTTTGTAGGCCTATGGTTCCTCTGAKGGAACAACTGAACTTTGCAGGGACTGTCTGCTGGCTTCACAAATTTTAAGGAGGTTACTTCTCAGTTGTAGGTGTCCTTGTGGAGGTATTCCACATTCAAAATTCAGGAAAGGTCAACTCACTCTACCGGTGCACTTATCAGTGATGGGGAAAATGAAATGAAAGCTAGTAAAGAGAGAGGAAACCAGTTGTGTGGGGGTCAGAATAGTATCAGTGCAAATAGCTGAGTTTTTGTACCTACAGTTTCAAAAGAGTTTTGTAAAACGCCAACCCTATGCGTCAATAGTTTCTAGTTTATGCTTGAATGGAATGCTGATGGTTCTGTAGACAAAAGTCAGGATCTTAAGTTTGACCTGCACTATTACAGCTTTTTATCCCAGACAATGACCAAATCAAAAGATACGAAGTCATCATCACCTCGAGATTGGACGAGGGAAGACTCCCACGATCCATCACCAACTTGAAGGTGCATGGATACTGGCACTGCTGTGTGAGCAGTAGAATCTCTCTGAGATTCCATCACAACAAGTTCAAACCATGCCACGGATTTCTTCTGTCCAAGCTTGCGTAGGGTGGCAGAATTTTCTTTCGAAACTTTCGAATCCGACAGCACGTTTCCGGCTTCCCAACTAGAGACAGCCTCCGGTACATTATCCGATGTCTTGTTTCCCAATTCAAGAAATGAATCTTCTACTGGCTCTAGCTCACACATGTCAGTAGCTTCAATTTTGTTAGCAACCTCAACATCGAGAACCGCATCAAGAGAAATTCTCTTGAAAGGATCAACAATTATGTTTTCCAAACGCTTCGTCGTCACCTCGTTGTTGTCCCAATGGCGTTCACCTGCATAAGGAGAGGGGGCGAGTCTCAAGCGTACAGTACCCAGTGTAGGATTCGACACTTTGATAAGGAAAGCATGACGACTTCCGTCAGTTGCAGCGGCGGATACTCGAACGCGGGGAAGCACTTCGACGGCACTTGAATCCTACAAAAACATAGAAAAACGAGGGCGCAATTTAGTGGAATGATTTTTGGAAGCTGTGCATTGACGAAACCAACCACTTTCAAACAAAGGCACAGAGGCAGAGAAAACAATCAATGTCCTGCAATGAACGCACTTTTTTCCACCATTGACCATGTCCCGTACGAAGACTAGAGTCGCCCTCTAAAGGATTTAGTTTTGGTTTTACCAAGATACCTGGGCGGTTCTCTGCCAATTCGGCACGGCATCTTCTCGATTTTCTTGGTCGCAAGGGAATTTGAAGAGGGAGCAAGCTTTCTATTGACCCTGTCGTGTTGCCACCACTTTCTTGGGACAATATCGTTTCCGCAGACAGCCCTTCGAAGGACGAATGAAAAAGTGGCTGTTCGTCTTCCTCGTCATCGAGTGGTATCTGTTGCAAACTCTTTCCTCCAATTGGCTTATTTATAGACGATTCCATTTCTTTATTTCGAATGCGTTGGGACTCTTCCAAGGTTTCAATTGACCAACCATGAGGATCATCTTGGCGGCGTTTCAGAGTCAGCCCCGACGAGAAAACTCGACGATTGGCGGACCTGTGACCTTGGACATGCTCCTTGGCAATCCTCACAAGAGTTTTTTGCATATTACTGAAATGGTCTTCCGCCTGTTTGTTGCTTTCTTCCTTTTTTTTCTCCCACTGAGATTGAAGCTCCAACGAAGCCTTTTCCACCGCTTCTAAGCTCACTTCCCCATCACTGTTAACTGTAAGGGGGGTTTGCAATTGACATCCTTTCGAATTCCATGCACACATACCACATTTGTAAAAACAACCCGAGTTATCAACGGCGATAGATGCAACCGACCTGCAAACGGGGCACAACCGACAAGTAGGTTTGGGGCAAAAACCAAGATTGGCGGCTGTGTTGGCATCGTGGAAGGATAGACACTGAGGACAGTACGCAGAATCTAAACCCGAGGAAACAGCAGCAGAAGCAGCAGTAACACGATCAGATTATGATGGTTTGAGATAATAAAAATACTCATCCCTATGGAGATGCCATCGCCGCCGTTGAGCACTCTCTGTTCCCATTACCTGTTTCCTGTACTTACCAACCTCCGTTATCGAAGATGGCGGATGCCGATCGAGGGAGGACGTCAGTCTTCTCGACGCTGTCGCATGGTAGCTCAGGGAAAGAGGAGCGGGATGGTCCTGGTGATCAACGTATAACACATAGGCGGAATCTTCATCCTTCATCATCTTTGAACGAGGGACAGCATAGACAGCAACACTCTGTTTACACGAGGCTATTATCCATTTGCTTTTGCTACCTATGGTACCGGCGTGATAACCAATGTTACGACGCGAAAACGTGCAGGCTGAATTTTACTACTGTAATATTTTTTTCTCTGTGTCGTGTTCTCCAAATTACTGTAGTTGACCCGAAGAGGAACCGGACGCGCGCAGAGCACGGTGTTAGAGACTGAAGACCGAAGAGACCAAACCCTTTCAGCCTGTTGTTGAGCGCGACTACCGGTACGTACTACGAGTCCGAGTACATACTCACACTAAGTGAGCAGCACGTATCGAAACCATTTTTTACTCAGGCCCCGTGCTAGCTACATACCGTACGGTAGTACTGCCGTAGGTGGATGCCAGTTCCGCATCAGCACTCTTACTCGTTCCAAAAGGTGCAGTACGGGTACTACTACGCTACAGTACCTGGTACCGTGCAATGATCGTGATTATTTTCGAAGAATTGAAAAATTACTGGAGCTCCGGCAACAGTGATTTGAGAAAGCAATGATTGCGAACCCGGTATTCATAACTACCGACTAAGTTGCAACAACACAAAAAGTTGCAATCCAGGAACGAAGGTGGGGAGTTGATTCGTTGTTGGGTATCGGGATACTCTTCTTCCACTGTGGTCAACGCCAATCCATTCGTTCGTTCGACAAGGAGGGCGGTGCTCACAGGGGATCGTGCGTACAATTTGGTACATTTTCTACGCACGTTTTTTTTCATCCTTGTTGGACTAGCCTATTCGTTTCACAAAAATCACTGTCACCTATCAAACCCCGTACCAACATTCGCCTCATAGTGCACTGTGAGAAAGAGCCGGTGCCCTCATGAGCTCATCCGCGCGGGTTTCAACGAATCAGTCGGTCCCGTCAGCACCGATAGCTACAGCTACGACGACAACCGCATCGACCTTCGATACCACCACGAAGAAAAAGTTTGGCAAAAACCTCAACAAGCTCACGGCTCCACCCGTTGCACCCGTCGCACAAGGAAACACTAAGACAAACTCTTCTTCGTCGAAAAATGGATTCTTGTTGCTGTCGACGAAGCGACCATCCTCTAGCGCTGCAGGGACTGGTTCGGGAGGGATTCTTTCTAGCAAATCTGCGCAAAACTCGGGGAAACCTATCCCGAGTTTGGGTCTTCACACAGAGTTTAGTTCTTCGACCCATGACGCGCTTATGGGGGTGGTTGTTGGAGCTTCTAGGTTAGAAAACCACCAGCAACCAGACGCATGGGGTGTTGCAGAGAAACAACAGCAGGAACAAGTTCAGCAAAAAGAAATTTCGGTTACTGCTGCATCTACCGAAACCAATCGCAACAATCCCGATACCAAGACGCGCGAACAAGTTCATAAGAATAGCATCGAGGAGAAATCGGCCTTCGAAGTGAAACAAAAAGAGCGTMCACCCAAAAGCGAAGCAGATCAGAGGAACGTCGATGGTAATCAAGGAGGATACCGCACTTCAAACTGGGACGAATATGGTGGCCGGGATATGCAAACCGGTGGTGGTAAGGATTCAAACGAAAGTTCGAAGAGAAAAGAGACTACCGATGATCAGGCAGCGATTATGACAAAGCTTGCGAGACAGCGGGCTGAACAGAAACGCAACGAGGAAGAAAATCGAATGATGGAACAAAAGGAACGCGCGGCTCAGAGATTGAGAGAACTCGAGACAAAGATGGCTTTGAAGAAAAAAGAAGACTTGGCGTCAAAGAAGACAGCAAGAAACGCAAAGGGATCTGACGGTGTTAATAATGATCTGGAAAGTAGAAGCCGTTCGAGGATTGTCTTGGAAAAGCTCAAGCAAAAAGAGAGTGGGACCTCACCTGCGTCAACAACGCCAGCCAGAACACAAAGAGCGCTCTACGATCCGAATACACCAAGCAAGAGCTACAGTTCTCTTGTTGCTGGCTCATCATCAATGAAACAGGATCGAAATCTGAAGAACCCCGAACCAAATACAAAACATCTTTCGTCATCCATCACGTCGTCTAAGAAAAATGCAGTCCAACTCCAGCAAGGTATTTCTACGTATGCTGCTGACCCTGAATCATTCGACAGGAAACCAGTTATTCAACTTGCCAGTTACGAAGATAGAGACCGCGGTGATCGTAATGCAAGTGCAGCACCAAGAATGCTATTTGATCCGAAGAGTGGGTCGATGATTGAGGTGACTTCTCGAGACGAAGGTGCGGCGAACGCTAGAAATCGGAAAGCAGGGAAAAAGAATAAAAATTCTCGAGACAAACAGTCCAAGAAAGACCTCGCTGTAGACAATGGTGGTAATGCAGATTCAAAGGGTAGAAGAAAGGTGAAAGGTAACAAAGAAAGCAGTTCTATCAATCAACGTGGGAAAGGAATGGCCGGGGAATCATCGAACTCAAAGAAGGACATCATATCCAAACCAAAAAAATTGAATATAAGTGACCCAAGGAAGTTGCCTCGGACTTGTGGCGTACTCTACGCTCGAGATAAAAAGGGAGGTTTCGTATGCTCAGATGGATGCGAAGGAGACCTTGGTTATGGTGTGCACTCGGTTCCTGGTGGTAGGGTAAAGAACGCAGAAGCATATTCGAATTATGTGAACACTCAGAAACAAATGAAGCAGGGCACCATGCTCAACTACGACGGAATCAATCATGATGAACTGGTACTTGAAACTGGCTTCCGTATTTCAGAGGCGAAAGAACCAAAGCACGAATGGATTAAACCAAACGAAAAGATCGAACTAATCACGGGCGACGAAGATTCACCAACCCTTCAGGCCACTGCGAGGGAATGGGCCCCTACACACACGACCTTTACATTATCAGAGCATGGAAAAATGGCGAGGTCTTCTACGGGAAGCTTCGAAGACGAAGATGATGAGGAGGAAGACGTTGATGATGACGAAGTTGCACCTGTAAGTCTGCTGTTTGAATGATACGCCTACCATTTGCTTTCTCTGATTGTCAACTAACTTGTTATGATTTTTTCTCCTCTCTCTCTAGCTTGGCCTCGGCTTTGATCCAGCATTAAATATGGACTCTGTGATGCAATCGCCATCCATCGATCCTTCGGACGGTCTCGGTGCTGTCGACTTGACAACCCTTTCGCTAGAGCCAGCTCTACAAGGAGTGGCAAAGAATTCTCATATTTTTGCGTTTGAGTCGGGAGCAACATGGGGGGCAAGCAATTCGGAAGGGAACAACGACTGGGGTATGCATTCTGGAAGCGCTTATGGAAATGGACAAGCGAATAACAATGGAGGAGTTTCGACATCATTTCTTTCTCTTTCAACTGCAAATACCTGGGGTGGTTTCGGATCTCCTCTCAATGGAGATAACTCTAAGCAATCTGGGGAGTAGACAGAAAGTTTAATTATTTGACGAAAAATCAGCTTTGAATTCGAAGCGGCTTCATTTCATGCATGGATCTAAATCTAAAATCAAACCAAATCATGGTCTTCTGCCACAATGCCACTCTTTTCGCATCATGTCGGCATGCAAAGATTCAGTATGAACTTTTTCATGATGTCCTGCAATCAGTGATACTGAAATTTCACGAAAGAGCTTACATGAGACTCGCGCGAAAGCTCTTAAGAGAGCGCACGAGCAATTCAGAGCTGCAATTCATTGGTTATGCCATTTCACTGTCACCTTCTACAGACAATAAACTTTATTGTCGCAATACGCTGAAGGGACACAAGAATTGGCTCCTTGATCTTTACAATCCTCACTATACACTTCGTTATCAGTTTAAATCAACAAATAAGAAAGTAGGAAAGGTTTACCTATATGAATTGTTGAAACTATTTTTGAAGTGTATTCACAACAAGTTCCTTATATCCAGTAGTAGGATCTTGGGCTCGAGAAAAATCGACATCGAGAATGACTCCGATAACAAGCTCTAGAGTTGTGAAAATCTTGCCAGACATAACATGTCCACCGTAGACATTTCCTTGCCCATCGGATACTGACATATGTAAATGCTTTCCTTCACTAGAAAAGGTGCCAACTAAGCTCACTACCTCGAGTCGCTCGTTCCATTCTCTTATCTCGTTGACAAAATTACCATTGCTATTGATTGCATTTGCCATTCTCAGCGTCAAACTCTCGAGACTACCGACCGCTGAAAGAATGAATGCAGATGCCGTTCCAGATTTTTGCATTGCAGAGAGAGCGGTTTTCTCCATCGACGAAACAAGATCTTCCCCAGGCTTGAGCCGGACCGGATGCGCAACCACCAATCCTGAAGGAAGTAGTGAATTCATTGTTCGGTATAGAAAAATAATTATTTGTGCATTTCGAAAAACCGTTTTTCTCAACTATTGACGATTCCTTTGGAAACACTTGATCTACTCCTTTTTGATGTCCGTGGCAAATTGACCACGAGTATCGCACCTCGAACCTTACTAAATCCTTCCTGAACACAGAAAGTCAAAAGATCGCGAAGAACATCAAAATCCAAGATCATGGAAAGAACAAAGAAGTCACCCTAAAATCAGTCGTCGATACCAAGATGTCACAGTACGTACATGCCGTACGGTAGGTAAAATACCTTAGGGATCAACATTGAAAAAATTGAAAAAATCCACTCTCTCATCCTCCTCAACCCAATTGTTCTTCTTCTTGCTGGCTTCGTTGCTGGCTGCTGCAACAGCAGGAAGTAGCATCACCAACATCAAGACAAGAACAACAATTGGCTTGATAAAGCAAAACACTTACTACGGTGCAAAAACTAGTACTACTAAGTTATTGCTAGAATGCTGAGGACTTGTCACAATAGTAATGACTGGTGGTGAAAGTTTAGGTTAAAAATGAATAATCTATTTTTGGTCAAGGTCCTAATTTATTTGCAAAAAATGATACCAGGAGGGTTTATACAAATCCACACTAAAAAAGTTTCTTTTTGTTTCCTCAGTAAGTCCAGGGCTGTAAGAATTCTTCAAGGTTACTGGCTACCACCACCATACACTAGCTAAAGATAGTAGTGAAGTCCAGTGCACCGTAGCCAACAACAACAAGAAACAACAAGAAGATGAATGGAATCTAATAGTACTACTAGTACTACTAGTAGTGCTATTACTAAAACAACAAGAACAACAACAAGAGGAAGAACAAGAAGAAATGATGGAATGCCAGCACACCACTACTAGGCAGCAGGTACTACTAGTATCAGAGGATGTGCTCCTCCATTGAATGTGTCCACTGGGGCTGTCCTCTAGTCCTCGCTCTAGTAGGAGTACTACTACTAGTACTTGTAGTACTATGAAGTTCAAGTCTCCTCATCATCCTGTCAACAACAACAAGAACAACAACAAGAAGCTGAAGGGAATTCCTCCTCACAAATACTACTAGCAGTACTACTACTTATAGGAACTTCTTTTGCTCATTTTTGCAGTCTGCTAGTAAAAACTATCAAAAACTGTCAAAGGGACAAAAAGAATATAAATTAACATTTTTTACTACTAGTAGTAGTACTAGTAGTACTAGTAGTAGTACTAGTAGTAGTACTAGTACTACTAATTTCTAGCTGCTGCTGGTTGTGGCTGGTTCTTGTTGTTCTAGTACTACTAGTAGTACTAGTACTAGTACTACTTATGGATGTTATCATCCAGTAGTGGGCACTAATGCAAATTGATAACAAGTAGTAGTAGAAACCACTGATATTAGATCCTCAGTAGCAAGGACCTCTACTACTAATACTACTACTAGAGCTGTTGATGAATTTTCTTGTTTGGAGAGGGGGAGAGGAGAGGAGAAATGGAGACGGGAAAATAAAAATTGACAGCCGTTATTGCCAATTTTGCCAGCATGGGACTTGTTGTCCTTGCGTCACATATTTCTTACTGTCTTCGTACGGTAGGAATGATGACGATTTTTCGATGAATACAACAAATTCATCTAAAACTGCGGATACAGTATCCCGTACGTGGTGTTGTCGTACAATTTATACTCGCACCGTTTTATCCCATCTGATTGACCTGGTTTACTTGACTTTTTATGTTCTTAAATATCGTGAAGAACATGTTTGTTTTCTATTCCCTAGACAAAACAAAATACAGTTAAAAATAGCGTTACAAAAAGTATCTTCTTCCATACAAAAACATAATCCTTCCATCGTATGGATACGTAAAGTACTACTTCATACATAGTACCTTACTGATACAAACTACGATGAACTCCAACTTACTGTAACGTTGACCTTCCGTAAAAAATCCTACGTGTACGATGATTTTATGTCGGCTTGTCGGGAAGGGGCTGATGCAATGTGCAGAATTTTTATTGGACGGAAAAGTACTTAAAGTACAATGAGTTCCTCCTAACGCCGACATTTTGAATCACGTTAATCTTATTAATCTTACATACCGGACGGTACCGTACCGCACGTACGTCGCTCTTACATAACATCTTGGTAGTCTCTCTCCATATCGGTAGTAAAAACAACAGGAGACGGAACATACACACAATTGCTACTGTACTTCATGGTCGAAGAATGATGTTAACGCACAACAGGGGTACGGTAGGAACGTATGATACGGGACGGTACCGGCAGCACAGTACTTCTGCACACAGTAACGTGCTTCTTCTCAAAATTAAATTTGTTTGTCATCCGAGACCCACAGAAGAGTACGAGTTCGCACTGCGAGAAACAATCTTTACAGTTCTTATTTCATCTCAAGACTAGAGTAATCTCGTTTGATCGTTGATTCTTCGAATTATCCGGTCATCTGCACGTGTAAACCTCGCCTCCGATGTTTGCGACAGTAATGGACCAGCAACAGACAGACTACCAACGGCAATGGCCAATGTCTTCACCAGGTGGAGTTACGTTCCAACAACAGTTTCCCGCTCACATCTGCACGACTACTGTATCAGGTGCGCCATCTTCCACGAAACGTAGTCGATCCTGTAGCGAAGAATCATCGGCGGCGTGTTCTTCTACTAACTGTGGCAACATAGTTACAGATCCTATCGCACGATCATCACCATCGCCATCATCCGTATCATCATTAGTTCCGGTGTCCTCCACACCGAAGAAATCGAGACCCAATAATTACTTCGCACCCCGGTCGATCAAACCATCGGTTCTGACTGCGATGGGCACCCTTTCTGGGGCCAGCAATGGATCTAATGGAATACAACAAGACTCTTCTTCATCCGTTCCTATGAGAAGAAGATTGTCAGGGGGACAGATTGATCAATATATATTTGGGGAACAACATGGCAGAAGTGGTCCGGACACAGACCCAAACCGACCAAGAAGCATGAGTTTTTGAATTTTTGCATCTCAGCTTGACTGGTAAGAGAAACTTTTGTTCACACTTCGAGTGCCGGGAACTCCAACTGCTCGCAAAGTACTGCATGCGGGAGCCTGCAATCTTTCCCAGAATACTTTGTACTGTTAGTAAATTAAAAATAATGTAATACCAAAAAGAAGAACAGAAGAGTAGACGATTGGACATTCATGCAAAAGTGTTCCGAATGCCTTCGAATTTTGCACTTGCATCATATATGGTGTCATCGTCAGAAAAAATGAAAACAACAGACGAGATTCATATCAATACAGATTATGAATGTTGTCGACATCGCACTCGCATGATACGTGTTTGAAAGGTATTTGAAAATAATTTGAAAACAAACGAAACAGCTATATTGCTTTGACCTACTTTGCGTCCGGTATAATCGATCCACGGCTCTGCCAGGTTTTTTGTTCCATTCTGTCTTGAAAGAACGGTTTCAATGTAAGAAGAGAAACGAAATTGGGACTCGATAAAGTATGAGGTGAATGTGCTACGTGCGGTACAATATCTTATCATTTATCTATCTTCGGGCGACACACAACATAGTATGTAGTACCGAAGTGCCAATTTTGTAAGTTTTCCACCTCAAGGCCGGACTCTTCTATTATCTTGTCAAGGTCCCGGTTCCACACACAACCCCAGTTCTTGGCATGGCGTTCGGCATTCTTGTCAAGATAATTCGTTATAAAATTCCAAGTTTTCGACCGACCGTGTTCGAGCAGCAAAATTTTTCCATCGGGTTTGCAAACTCGCCCCATCTCCTTCAAGACGGTCACGGGATCGTCATAACTGCACAGGCCAAAGGTATCTACGACTGTATCAAAACACCGATTCGGAAAGTCTCCCAGATTCGAGCTATCTCCAACCATGCAGGCAAAACTTGTTTTTTCATTCGAAACTTCCGATATTTTTTGTCTTGCTTTTGCAATCATATTCTCGGATGAGTCTATCATTAGAACGCGATCGCAAGAAGATGGATAATATTTTATGTTTCTGCCAGTACCCGCAGCCAACTCCAGGACCGTCCCCTCCGCATGGAAATACAGAAGCGCCCTACGCAATAACTCGATCCCCATGACAGATTCCTCTTTCCCTATCTCGTCATCGTATTTGTGTGCGACATTTTGATACTGCTCATTTCTCTTGGGATTTTCGACGAATGAAAATTTCCCTCCTTCCACCGCCTGGAGTGTTTGGTCGTAATCAGCCTTGTTTTTGCTTATGGAAGAGTAGCCAATGTAACAGGCTGCAACATAAGCACCACCGGCAGCCAAAAGCAACGGAGCTTTTGATGCTATTTTACTCGCCATGGTCGAAACAGAGTAAATCTGAATCCAGGCTCTAAATGCAACACAATCTGGAAACGGTAAAGTTTTTGATCCTGTAGTATGTAGAGTAACTGTGGCGTCGAACGGTCCGCGCGTGTACAGTACCATGCAGGTACCAATCAATAATGCAACTAATTTTGCAACAGTAGGAAATCATGTACAAGTCTACGTACATACACTTCGCTAATATCCTACTGACCAGCACAGTATCAAAATCCATCATGTAAGAGCAAAAAATCCGTTTAGTCGGTTGAGCAGAATTACTTCCATCATCGAGCACAAGGCAATTTCCATAGTAAAAAGACAAATGATGAAGGTAATTCTTGACAATAACAGAAACATATAATTTTTCTGAGATCTTAGGGGGGGGACAAGTAGTTAGCAGTGTCCGTATCAGCATCCTCCGTATCAGCGACTCATATCAGCAAGCCTCCGTATCAGTGAGCTTCCGTATCAGCAACTCGTATGAGCATCCCCTGTATCAGTGAGTGTCCTCCGTATCAGTGAGCCTCCGTATCAGTGAGCCTCCGTATCAGCAAGCCTCTGTATCAGCGAGCCTCCATATCAGCATCCTCTGTATCAGTGAGCCTCCTCTGTATCAGCCTCCTCCGTATCAGCATCCCCCTCTGTATCAGTGGCTCATATCAGTGGCTTGTATCAGTGGACACTGTAGTATCAGCAGACACCGTAGTATCAGCAGACATCGTAGTATCAGTGGACACCGTATCAGTGGACACCGTATCAGCGGACACCATATCAGTGGACACCGTATCAGTGAGATAGTGGACACCGTATCAGTGAGATTCCTCTGTAGTATCAGTGGAGGCCGTATCAGCAGCGAGCCTCAGTATCAGCATCCTCTGTATCAGCGTCTGTATCAGCATCCTCCATATCAGCCCAGCGGCTCGTATCAGCGACTTGTATCAGTGACTAATATAGTGAGCTTCCTCCGTAGTATCAGTGGAGGCCGTATCAGCAGTGAGCCTCCGTATCAGCATCCTCCTTATCAGCGTCCGTATCAGCATCCTCCATATCAGCATCCTCCGTATCAGCGGCTTGTATCAGCGGCTCATATCAGCAACTCCTATCAGCATTGTCCTCTGTATCNCGGCTTGTATCAGCGGCTCATATCAGCAACTCCTATCAGCATTGTCCTCTGTATCAGCATCCTCCGTATCAGTGAGCCTCCGTATCAGCATCCTCTGTATCAGCAAGCATCCTCCGTATTTTGTGATCACAAGAAGGGAGCAGAATAGTGATAAAAAAATATTAGTTTGCACCTCCATGCATCCAATACCAATGACTGGGTTTCAGTTGCATTGTTGCATTTTCACGTAGTATTAAACAGACGAAAATGCACCTCAGAGGCAAAGTAACAACAACCTCATGAAAATATGCAGTACCGGTTTTGCGTGTTAATTTTGCACACAAAAGAGTCATTACATCTGCAAAAGTAGTGGTACCAACTATGGTACTGGTCGATTTGGGGGTTAGGGCCTATACAGTACATTTTGGTGTAGCCCTGTGGCAATAATGATAATGCAATTTTAGTTGCATTTGAGTCGTACCATAAATGTAACCAGAATGTGTACTCTGTTGAAGCTTGAGAGCGCACAGTACAAAAACTCTTCACGCGATAATAACACAAAGCTCAACAGAGTACACATTCTGGTTACATTTATGGTACACCAGTAACATCACTGAGATCAAGAGCTTGCTCAAGATCAAAGTGAGGTTACTGCAAGTACTGGACCGATGCGACACCACAGTTATTTACGTAATCAATTGAGTAGCATTGAAATTACATGTAACCATGTGGTGTGAGGTTACTGCTTCTTTACGGAGGCTCGATGATATGGAGGATGCTGATACCGAGGACACTCGCTGATACGGAGGACACTCGCTGATACGGAGGACACTCGCTGATACAGAGGCTCGCTGATACGATGCAGACAACGCTGATATGATATGGAGGACACTGATATGATACGGAGGATGCTGATACAAGTCGCTGATACGATATGGAGGCCCCAACCCATCCCTGATAGTACGATACGGAGGACGCTTGATGATATGGAGGACGCTGATACGGAGGACACTGATACGGGTTGCTGATCTGGAGGAGCTGCTGCTGATACAATACGGCGTTCTGCTTGAGGTGTTTTGCTTGTTTTTTTGCTTGTTTCCCCCTGCAAACCAATATTTCTACGGTGTTTTCTACACCGCTTTGTACTGGAATAGCAATCAAGATCAGTTTTTCACTGAAAACTGGTCACATTTTTTAGTACTCCTCGTACTCGTACTGATACTAGGTACAGTATTTAGTGAAGACAGTTTTTAGTTTGTACCTGTTGAGGTGCATGGTGGTTACATGTGCGCACAAGGGAACCAGTGCGCCTGTTTTTGTAACCAGACCTGTTTTTTTTTGTAACCACACTACTACTAGTGTTATTGTGGTAAAAAGAAGGGCCTCTCTGTAGGGAAGGGTTTGGTTACAATTCTGGTTACAAAATTTGGTCCGCGCGGTTTGTAACCAGTTGAGGTGCATGTACTTAAGCAAAAAAATAACTAGTGTTTGTACACGTGATTTGCTCAACAAATCATGTACCAGTTTAGTAACCATGCGCATGTGGTTACATGTAATTTCAATGCTACTCAACGGTTACAGTATGTACTCGTTGAGCAGCTCAACATTTCCATGTACTCAGCTTGTGTGGTATTTTCTAGGTACATGATTTGTTGAGTAGATCACGCCGTACAAATACTACTTATTTTTTGCCTAAGTAGATGCACCTCAACTGGTTACAAACCGCGCGGAGTGAATTTTGTAACCAGATTTTTGTAACCAAACCCTTTCCTAAGGAGAGCCCATATTTTTTACACGATAGTACTACTAGTAGTCTGGTTACCAAAAAAAGGGGTCTGGTTACAAAAAAAAAGCACACAGAGCGCTTTGTGCGCGCTTGTAACCAGGCAAACACACCTCAACAGGTACACAGTTAAGTACAAAAAAGAAAATTAAGTGGGAACTAGTACAAACTCATGTAGAAAATACTGCTCAACAAATCATGTACCAGTTTAGTAACCAAACGCGCGTGGTTACATGTAATTTTGATGCTACTCAACGGATATGTGATATAACTGTGGAGGAGCTCACCCAGCATGTGTAACCAAATTGTAAGCTTAAAGCTCTCAAGCACACAGTACAAAACTTTTCCCGTGATAATGACACGGACTCCACAAGGTACAAAATTCTGGTTACAATTTGGTTACACCAGTAAAATCACTGAGATTGAGAGCTTTAGCTTGAGATCAAAGTGAGGTTACTGCAAGTATAATCTTCAACACCAACAAGCTCAAGAGCTTTAGCTCAAGAGCTTGTTGGTGTTGAAGATAGTACTTGTAGCGCTGAAAGCAGAGCTCTTCCACAGTTAATACAGTTGTAGAGGAGAGGGAGCTACTACCATTGGATATGTAATCTAATGCATATTTCAGTTGGGATCCAGGGGGACTTAAGAATTATACCAGTCTAACAAGCAAGTGCCCTCAATGAGATTCAGTACATGCTAGTATTTAAGAGAATAAATTTTCTAGTATAAATTGTTTTGCTTGATACAGAAAACACAATTCCTAATTCCATATAAAAGAGAGGGGGAACACATGGTTAGAGGGGTGTGTGGCTGACAGGCTTGACACTACTATGTGTGTCATCCCAATTTATTCCCTGTTAACATTAGTACACATAAAAACTGTAAGTACATATTTTCATGTTGATGGGAACAACCCCCCATTTTGAAGACATGCCAGGACATTCACAAGTACCTATTACTAATGCTGAAAAACCTCACTCATCATTGTAAACACAAAGAAAATCTTAACATTATATTTAACCTTGTGGTGAACTAGTAGAAGAGGCACTACTAGTATATGTTTTGAACCATAGTATCAGGTGTCAAGTATGCTCCTGATAGTTGCTCAAAGGGGCAGCGCTTCCCTCCAAGAAGGTGGTGTAAGCATGAAAACAGGGTTTGGTGTCGCTGGTTTTAAATGAATCAGGTTAATTTGGTTTGTAGTGAACAGGAAAGAGCAGCAGAAGGAGCCAAAGAAGTATCTGGCACTGCAGGCTGTTTGTGACATTTCTTTTTGGAGTAGGCATCAAAGACCACATCAATGTAAACATAGTATTGATAGACATACACACAGCACTATTAAAGAGTACTATATGTGCATTCCACAGGTTATGAGCAACAACAGTAGACTTGCCTTCTATCATCTTCTCCTCATCAAGAGTACATGAGTAGTAGTAGTAGTACTAGTAGTAATACCACTAATACGTACTAGTACTAGTACTGGTGCCAGTAGTATTCTACTAGTAGTACTAGTACTACTATTTCTTTTCGCCCCTCAGCTACCAATATAGACATCTCTTGTTAAAGGTGGCAACCATGGAAGTACTAGTACCAGCAGTCCTAGTACTACTACTATTGACAACGCATCATTGAGTACTTCGGAGATGAATCGTTACTGAAGAAAAATAGAAGAATAAGAATGAATTGTAATTGAAAAAATTTTCAAATAGGTGACCTTGTTAGAGGAAGTGTGTCATACACACCAATAGTTCTCATATTGTTGAAGATATTTTGGCTATGAAATAGTAGTTGTTCCAATATTGCTAAGGATCGCCAATTTGCTATCCATAAGGCAATTCCTCGTTTATGCACTCCGTTCAAATATCGGGATCCCTATTTTCTGCATACTTTTACTTTCGAAAAGCTTCAAAGTAAAACAGGAATATATTGAACGGGGATTATGTGTTCCTCGACGCTTCAGTTGCATCTTGAATGGCGTCGATCCAACCCTCCAACCCTGGTGCTTCTGGAAAGAAAATTTGTTTTTCGTCCCAGCCATGTTCTCTACAGGCCGTAGCGCTTGTTATTCCGATACAAGCTGCGAAGACGTCGGTGTTACCTTCTGTGTTTTTCAGCCAACCCTCAACAGCGGATGGGCTTGCAAAACATGCAACCTCTACCCTTCGTGAGGATTCTTTTTCCTCGTCTCCCCACGTCGCCGTAACTGTGTCATAGGTGTTCAATCGTGTCACATCGAATCCCCTCGCCATCAGATCAACTTGGAGAGTTTTCTTTGCTTTCGCTGATGCTGGGTATAATACAGATGTCTTTTTTGTCTCGTGCACCGGATTTAGCTCTTTTGCTAACGTCTTCGCAGTCGCTATCGACGGAACGAAACTTACAGGGATCTTGGAATCTTTGAGGCTTTTTTCGGTAGCTTTTCCAACTGCGACCACCGACAGGGGGTTGTCTCTCACAGCATCCCAAGCTGATGCGAGTACTTTTGCCGCCTCTGGTGATGTTACAGCAACAAAATCCCACCGTTCAGAAAGTAGAGTAGAAGAAAGACGTTCGTAATCTGGACCATCAGCATGTGCGATGCAAGGCATTTCAAGGATATCAATCTGCTCCATGAGTTGGGTATTTTCTTCGATTTTTCTCCTTAGCTTAGTATTTTTCCCGTCTTCTCGAGTCAATGTAACGACAATAGGTTTATTCGATGCTGCGATTGCCGTTGCAGTCTGTATTGATTTCGACGACAAACATGAGCTACGCGGCACAAAAGCATTGACTCCTACGCCAAGGATCGACGACCCACCGATGAAAAAGAGACCGCCGAGTAACATTAGCGAGAGGCTGAAGTGTCTTTGTCCTTTTGAATAGTCCATCGTTATCGCTTCATAATTTTCAACACACGATCGGTTTGTAAATCAACAGATAATGTTGAAATGTGGCTTACGAATCGTCACAGCGATAGCGAAATTCGTTGTTAGGAAGATGGTACCGTAGGGTACTCGTACCAGACGGTAACACTCTGATGCCGCCAGTGCGGTTTCCCTGTCGTACCTTACTGTACCCTACCCTACGGTACTTACTCGTAACTCATGGAACGAGAAAAGAGAAAAAAAGATACTTCCACTTGGTGCAATTTACGTACCACTACTGAGTAGTAGTTCTTTCCTTGATTAAAATCTACAGTATTGCATTATTGATTCATTCGACTCGTGACGTCATTAGTCATCTTGTGAGATGGTCTATTACTGTATCGTATTTACGTTATTGCCGTGATCATTATCTACTGTACGTACGGTACCATTTCACGAATCGCTGAACAAAAATCATCCACGTCCTTAGGTAAAGGTGCGACTCAAAAGGATAGTTAGTAAAAGTATCTGTTGCACGCATCCCGAGAATAACCGACACAACACTTATTCACTCAACTTTTAAACACCCAAAGATGAAGTTCACTATCCTAGCATCTCTCGGCTTCTTGGCTACTGCATCAGCCTTTGCGCAACAAAGTTGCAACCGACCGTCTTTCACTGCTCTCAATATGGCATCCCCCGCTGAATTCGTTGACTCAGAGATTGAATCAAACGATGTAAGAATTCAATATATGGTGTGAAGTCATTCAGACACTCTTCTCGTGTTACTGTTCCATCAAAATTTCTTGTAATCAACTCAATAACCCACTTTGAATCTTGCTTTACTCTACGCTTTGATAGGTTGTTGTTTTCTCGAAGTCTTACTGCCCTTTCTGCACGAAGACCAAGGAGTTGTTCGATAGCTTGAACGTCGAATATGCCGTCCACGAACTCGACCAGATGGGAGACGAAGGTCCCGAATTACAAATGGCTCTCTTCAAGAAGACGGAACAAAAGTCTGTGCCCAATGTCTTCGTCAAGCAACAACATATTGGAGGCAACGATGATACGCAAGCCGCAGCTGCGGCCGGAAAGTTGCAGGAATTGCTTGGATTGTAGATAATGAATTACGGTAAAGAAATGAAAATCCATTTATAATTCTCCTCTATGAAAAATGTTCTGCACTTATATCATGGATGCGGCGTATTTTCAACAACTTCAAACGTTGTTTCTTCGAATCGTACGAGTAAGTACCGGTTGGAATACTGTTTTTCGATCTCCAATCCTGAGGCACAGAGCCGATCATAACAAAAATCAATTATTGCTGGCAACTAAACGATTCTAGAACACATGCAATCAAATCATTTAGGGTCAGTTTAGTCGAAACCACTCGAAAAACGATATTTTATATCTGAGGCCTTCATGTTACGTGTAGTAGAGACCTGCGAATCACATTTACTTTGCCGCTCTTCCGATCCGCTTCACAACCCGCTCCAGATCATCGATCATACCAAGAATCTCTGCACGGACATTTTCATCCCAACCACCAGTGTCATTCGCCATCCCATAGGCTGTTTTTCTAATCTCTTCCAATCCTTTCGAAATCTTCTTTGACACCGGCTTCAAAAGAATGCTTTGCGTTGTAGGGTTTTCCAGATAAAGGTTCATTTTATTTCGAATGTCCTTCGCTTTTGGCTCGAAATTTTCTTGAGTCTTGGAGAGAATATCTCTCACTTTGCTGGCCTCGAAAAATGAAGCGCCTTTGAGACTCTCTGGTGTTGCACTATTCAATTGAGCAACTAATTTCATCACATCCTCTGCCACAGAATCGCACGTGTGGTCAATGAAGTCGTTGCATGCATTTCGAAGTCCCTCCTCGAGGTCACGTTTTGAATCCACGGACTCCTCGTTGACGGAAACACCCTCTCGTAACAAAGTAACCAATGCGTTTTCTGCACTCATGGAAAAGAGTCGTCTATTTCGATTTGCTAGAAATCGAGAAACAGCGCGACCGGCATCACTGAAGTCAAGCTGTCGTTCCACAGAACGCAAGTCAATATCAAACGGCGACAGCTGCTCGCGTAGGATCTTCGAACAAATCAAGAAATGTGTAAGATATCAAATATGTCGCTGTTTCAAATAGAATGGAATAGTGGATAACACGTACCAGTAAATGTTTTACTTTAAACAAGTCAGCGTGGATCGTCCCACTTCGCTTCTCGATATACTTCGCACCATCTCTCAAAGATCGTGTACAAGATTGAACTGATTGCAAAGCGATGTCTTCAAAGACTTTCGGTTCGACAACTCGAAATATTTTCGATAAAATCCTCAAAACACTTCTCATCGGAGGAAACCATGATTCGTAGACTTGGAGTTGTTTTTTAATTGCATCGTCTTCACCTCCTTCTTGTGATTGTTTTGTATTCTTCGTCAGCTTGTTTGGGTAGTCTAAATCACTAGGCGAGGCTTTAAAACGTATGACTTCCTTTGTTAGCGTGTTGGTTGCACAGAAAATAAGACGTTCTTGCGCGTCTTCGATAACACTAGAAATGGATCTAGCAGCAGCAAGTGTGGTCGGAGAAGAGCTGGCCATAGACCGTTCCTCTCGAAGCACGCTGACAATTTGGCAAAGAGTATCCAGATCCAAAAGTGTAACGAGACCGCGGCGGATTGTCCGGTGGAGTGCCGAGGTCAAGGATGCCAAGTATGCTTGAAATTCTCGATCGTAGTAAGTTGCATCTTCTTTTGCTGTACGCGATGGCAACGCCATGGCTCTCTTGCTCTGGTTCGGCTGTTTGGTTTTGATTTCGTCGCTGTCGTCTGGATCTTTGCCCTCCTCCGATACTTTTTCTTCACCGAAGAAGTCAAGATATAAAGCAGTCTCAACCGTACACAAACGAATAAGAAAGACACTAGCAAGCCGTGTCATGCCAACAAGGCCATGCTGATCTTTGAGTTTGTCCATGTGGGCTCTAATTGTCGTTTTAAGCAAAGACTCACGCGAGTTGCAGTACGTAGTTCGACACAATTGCAAAAGCTCGTGATACGCTTCTCCACAATGCAAGCGCTTTTTAACCAAGGTCAAGAGACGGTTACTTCGTGACGAGATACCATGGAATCTAGTGTAAACAAGAGACGCCTCTAGTTTGTCGGCAGCGATTGGTGTTTTCGGAATGTCCAGCCCACTGGCAACTTGCGCTGTCGTGTTGGAAATACGATCGACCACAGCTTCACGGATTAAAAAAAGAGCAGCCTCTTGTAATGCCAGAGATCTGCGGTAGTATTCAATGCTTCCACTAGTTTCAAACTGTTCCTTCGCGCTCGACCTGCGTTGGCGTTTCAATTCTGCATCCAGAGCTTCTCTTCCTCCGCTTTCCCTCGCAAAAAATTCCACAGCATCGTCGATTTGATCCAATATAGAAGGGAAGTCATCATTGTCAACCTTAATTTTAGCAAGTCCACGCACAACTGTTCTCCCCTTGAATAGCACTCCCACCAAGATTCCAATATTATCCACGGCATCGTAATGTTTGAGCGGCATACCGATTTCCTCTGCGTGACGACACAACATTTCTTGTTCGCCCTGCAGACGATCTGCCGCTGCGGAGAGCTCTCCCGAGTGCCTAATTAGATCTGCGTGTCGATTCGAGATGTCTTCAGCAATGTTGATCGAGGCTCTGAGTGCCAGGCGAAGAGAAGTTGTGTGTTTAAGAAGACGCGTTAAGTGGTCAGAACTTTCAGTTGCTTCCTTCAACGCAGTTTTCACGGTTGAACTTTCGTTTTCTTTTGATAGGGAAATTGAGTCAGAAGACGCGCAGGGCGGAGACATAGCTTTTAGAATGGTTGCTTCGTCGGAATCCACAGCAGAAGGTTGGTTGTTTTTGGATTTCGCGGACCCCAGCGCTGTCTGGCCAGCAGTCAGCGCAGCAATCCTAGACAATCTAGAAACTTGAGCCGTCGCTCGTGGCGCAAACAGTTCGTATGATACATTGCTTTTTGAACTAGTTGTCGGTTTCGTATTCATTGCGATCGAGCTGCCCCGGCTCGTCGGAGACGAAAATTGTGCAGCGGACATTGAATAAGAGATATCTTCTTCCTGTGCTACGAGTGCTTCTAGAATACTGGGATTAGTTTCGTTGCTTTGGAGTACTTGCAGTTGCTTCATTCGGCCAACATCAGCTGGCTTGATGCTGCTCTTGTTGCTTGTGTACTGTAGGAATTGGATTTCCAAAAGCGATAGAATCGATTATGATACGGTACGGTACGAACTTCATCGGTCATAGTAAAAGCAGCCTCGGGTTTTTGATTGAAGATTGATGAGAGACACAGTCGATTGCTGTTGGCACTGTACTACTGTACGTAGGATAGGATCGTACACACAAAAACTACACACTGAACCGGCCTTCACGATATGTTCTGATTTGTTTCTTGTGTTCATTGTTTTCATAGTTATTGTTCGTAGGGTACGGTACTCGTACCGTACATTCCGTAATACTACGCGTAAAACATCAATTGAAATTACGTTAAGTAAGGCATTGGGAACGTTAATTTAACGTACGGAATGTTAGCGCTAACATTCCGAATGTTAGTGTTAACATTCCGTACGTTAGCGCAGTAGGCCTAAGTAGGATCTGTACTAAAACCGGTGGGGGACAGGCCAGCGGGCCCCGCAGCTGCTGATCCAGCTGCTCAGCGAGGACCAGGATCGGTCTTTTGGATGGATCCTGGTACAAAGCTGTGTAGAAAATCCCGTAGAAAATCGTGGATCAAGGTAGTTGCCTTGCGATTTTGGTCAAAATAGAAGGGTTTTGATTCAGCGTTCAAAAATGTACCGTGTCCTAGTGTCTTTACCTTACCTACCTCCAGCGTGCTGATTCCAGTGAACTAAACTGTTCTTTTCATTCTAAAGAAAAACTCCCCGGTTCAAAGCAACCAACCATGGGAATTAGTGTATTTTCAGCACTTCCACTCACTCTTTCTTACTGTACTTGGTATCAATCGATAGCTCTCTTCCATTGTCGATTGAACAATCCTTGAATCATAGAAAAGGACCCAGTAGAAGTATTGTTGTGGCCTGATTAGTGTAGCTTGCTGCTTCTTGCTTCCGACGTCGGCAACAACATGAGTGACAGGAAGAAGAAGGATCCAGCGGATGAGGTTGCAAAGATCAGAGCCGATGCTGGGCTATCCAGACTAACACAACAAGAAAGAACTGAGAGGCCTCACCCTGGAAAGGGAGGGAGTAGAGGCTATGATTTGCATGTTCGATTGGCTGAACTGGCAAGGAAAGCTGCTGGTCTTCCTCCTTTTATAGCTAGCAAGTCTTCAGTTAGTAGATGGTCAAAGAGGACTGAGCGCTACAGGAGCACAGGAAATAGAAGCCAGGGCAAACTGGTGGGGAAGGACCTCTTTAACATGGTTTTGTTTGTGTGGATCTATCCAGATGCAAGCAATGATGAGATTGCTACTTTTATTTTCAACAGTGGAGGACCAATCTACTCTAATGCGGTAATCAGCAGGAGGTTGAACAAGATGCGACTTACAAGGAAGGTTGCCTCAAAGGAAGCATATCAAGTGTTCACCCCAGAGAGTATCTGGAGGGCCAAGATCTTCTGGACCAAGCCCCCTCCTCTTGGCGTAGTGGGTGTTCCTAGGAGAAGGTTCATTGATGTGGATGAGTTTGGTATGGATATGACCAAGACCAGCAAGAGCAAAAAAGGGATTGCCCTTCAGTGCTTTAGAGCGCGCATCCCTGGAGCCTATCAAAGGACCCAAAAGCTCACCATCATCCTGGCTGTGGAAGCAGGCGATCCGCGTTTGCCTCCTGGGACTAGAGGAAGTGTGGAGAATCCAAGGAGGTGGATCAATGTGATTCAGCAAGTGGGGACCTCAGCGCCTATCTTTGCTGACTTTATTGAGCATATCTGCAAGGACATTGAGACCAATCCAGTCCCTGGTGATACTGATGAGGAGAGGATCTTCCTGTGGGACAACCTCGGCTCTCATCTGTCCACATTGGTTGGATTGACAGTTGCCATTAGACCTGATCCTAAATCAACTCTATTCCGAGCCATCCCCAGGCCTCCTTACCAGCCAAAGTATGGGCCCATTGAATTCAAGATCTGTGATCTAGTATCAGCAGTATCCAGGGAGGCCCGCCCTAGTTGGACTACMAGTGATCTTGAAGCAGCGCTTTACAGGGAAGCTGGTAGGTCCATTAAAGGCGTTGATGCGACCTTTGATCACTGTGGATACAGCTTGGATGGAAACTATGATGATTAGGCAACAGGAACAACAACAGCACCTCGATGGTCTCMAGCACGTGAGCTGGATTCAGCAAGTAGCTGTAATGGACTGGAGCAATCCCCTGGAGCGTGGCTTGCTGGCGTGGCAACTCATCCTGGGCCTGTGGAAACTGATTCCTACTGGAGACGCTTGGATTCCAGCAGTTCCTACTGGAGCAGCTCCCAGCTCCTTCCTTGGATACTCAATCGATTCGCGGATCGACTACATGGACTGAATACAGTAACAGTCGGTTGAATCGATTGAATACAGCACCAGTCGGTTGAATCGATTGACCAGCATACTCAAGCTTAAGAGGAATGGATCCAACGCGTGGTCCTTCCTCTATCTATCAGTACTATTTGTATACACTTTATCTTTAGTAAGGATCATATCTACCAAGAGTAGTTGCAATAGACTTGAGCAATACCCCAAGGACCAGCGAGCTGCGCCTTTGAGCTGTCCTGGGCCTACAGTTTTAGTATGTRCTGTAGAGCGTCTGGAATCTACTAMGGCGTCTCATATCTACTAACTTTGTTGCTGGAGGAACTGCTGTTTCCACTTCCACCACTACCAAAGCTGCTCATACTATCATCACTACGCTTCATCTTCCTCTGAGCCTTGTATTCTTCCTTGCGTTGTTTCAAATACTTAGCTCGACTCTGCTCAAACAGCTCCTTTGCCCTTTTCTCCTGTGCTGCAACCCTAGCTGCTTCTGCTTCCTTTGCTGCTTTGTTTGCTGCTTTCTTTGCTTCCCTTGCTGCTTTCTTTTCTTCCTTKGTTGGTTCCTTTGCTACTGCTACTCTTTTTGCCACGCGTTTTGGTGGTTTCTTTCTTGGAGGACCACGCTTGTTCCCTGCAGCTGGAGGAGGCTTCTTCAACCCTGCAGCTGGAGGAGGCTTTAGCCCTGCACCTACTGGTGGAGACTTCCTTGCTGCAACAGCTGATTGCAACCGAATAGGGGCTTCCATCCGCGCATCCAGCATCGATTCGGCTGGTGCTACTGGCATCCGAGCTGGCATCCGAGCAGCTGGCATCCGAGCAGCTGGCATCCGAGCAGCTGGCATCCGAGCAGCTGGCATCCGAGCAGCCGGCATCCGAGCAGCCCGCAACTGAGCAGCTGGCAACTGAGCAACCGACGTACGAGCTGGCAACTGAGCAGCCAGCACACGTGGCATCCCAGCTTGCATTCTGTCACTGACAGCATTCCTCTTCAAAGCCTTAATCAAGCCCTCAATAGTTGCCACTAGGTCACCATTAAAYAGATGACTAAAATCATGTATCCAAGTCATCAGTTGTTGAACCTCCTGCATCTYATCACCAGCAGAGGAAGATGAAAGCAATGTATTGATTCGATGTAAAGCAGACTGAGTGAGAGGAGTATCTTCCACAGCACCAGGATTAGTCAAACGCATGAGGATTTGTTGCCTCAGCTTTACATGAAAGGGTTGGGTCTCTTCATCAGTGTGAGGAGTGCAATGAGGATGAATGGTTCTTCTAGTAGCAACAGCAGGCGTGTACTCGTCCTCCTCATCCTCACTACTACTTAATTCAGCAGCAATATCAATGGCACGATCCTGGCCGGCAGCAGCCCTCAGTCTAGAGGCAAGAGGATCATACTTCGCTGGCAACCTAGCAAGCCCCCTGTCCCCCCCAAGATCATTCCTGTGCCCCCTATCACTGTAGTTTCGATTGCTGTAGTGTCTTGCATTCCTCCTCTCACTAGCAGAAAAAGAGACTGGATGGGGCTCCTGGAAAGGGGCACGCTGCTGGCGCTGCTGAGGAGCCGGTCCCCTCTGCTGAGTCTGTCCCCAGGACAGAGCCGGTCCTCTCTGAACCTGTGGTCCCCTCCTTTCTGGCAAAGCCCCTCCCTCGCGTCTAAGCTGGTTAATGCCAAATCCATCCACCCATGTTCTAGTTCCTCTTGGAACAAGCTTTTGAATACTGTTCCTCAGCCCCACATCAGACTGAAAGTGAATATCAGACTTAGTATAATCAGCTGCATGCCCAAAAGCGTCTTGCTCAAACTGAGCACTTCCCAAAGGCTGGCAATTCATCAGCGTTGCATCAAAGTTTCCTCGATGGACATGCTTAGATAGGGCGTCCTGCAGCTTCCCCAGGGGGTTCCCTGAATACTGTTCCTCCTGCTCATCCGGCTGGGGACCACTTCTAAGCCTTTCTTCATTCTTGTTGATGTTGAATCTGTCAGTTAGATAGAAATAGATGGAACACTGGCAGTTGCAAAGGGGACAGTTGCAAGCTACTGGCGAGCCATTCTCATACTCCAGATAGTCAACGCCGGGCTTGCTGCACTCAGGACAAGTCCCCCCCCTTGGATCCAGCTTACAGTTGAACTTGCAGCAGTAGCAAGCCATCCTTACATCCAGCATACCCTTGAGCTTAGGACGCCCCTTCTTATCTCTATTCGCTGCATCGTGTTCTGCTACAGCTATATCATGCTCCTTCCTCTTCCCTTGATTGTGCTTCTGAATCTTATCTAAATCATCTACAGGGATGATGGAATGGTGGTCACAGATAGGACAACCAAACCTATCCAGCTTGGCAGGATCATAGGAACACTGATCCTGTAAACGCAAGGCTGCTCCCTGCTGCCAATAGACCCTCCCTTTCTTGTGCTTGGATCCTTTCAGTCTGTTGCTGGTTTCTTCTGCTTTCATTGCCTCCTTTACTACTTCAGCAACATCCTCAAGCTCAGCTGCAGCTGCGGCGGTCCTTCTGCTTTGCCTTTTTTGTTGTTGGTCACTCCTCCCCTTCCTGATCTCCATGCCTGTAAAGAATTTGGCAAGCATTGTGGCTGTAAAGGCCTGGGTCCATTCCAATCTCCTCTTGTGATGCGTGTTCCCTGTTGCAGTTATATCATGATACACCCTCTGCATCTCATGGGACAGAGCATCCCCCCCAGGAAAGACAGCTTTGATAAGGTCTTGGTTGAGCTTCTCCCTGATTCGAACCAGCAAATCTTGCTTTTGTTTCAGTGAAAGAAACTTCCTCTTGACCAGTGTAGCCTGTGCTGTCTGGAACAAAGGATGGGATGCTGCTGATAGTGTTGGTGGAGCAGGAGGTCGTGGTGGTGGGGGCGCGGCTGGAGGAGCAGGGGGAGGAGGAGCAGGAGCTGGGACAACAGCTTCCTCTTGATGAAAATCCTCTTCAGATGAATCATCTGAGAGTATTCCATCATCATGGCCTCCCAAAGCATTCCTTAGCTTCATTAGACCATCCCTGTCTTCTCTATCTTGTGTATTCATCGTATGAAGGGGGGGGGAGGAGCTGATTGCCGACGTCGGTCGAAAAATAAGCAGTCGTCGTAAAAAAAAGAAGCTACACTGAACACTCAATAAAATCTGTTCCACTTGCTTGTTCGCTACAGTTAAGGGCTTGTTCAATCGACAATGGAAGAGAGCTATCGATTGATACCAAGTAAAGTGTAAAAGAGTGAGTGTAAGGGCTCTAAAAGCAGATTCCCATGGTCGGTTGCTTTGAACCGGGGAGTTTTTCTTTAGAATGAAAAGAACAGTTTACCGTGATGGATCAGCGTGCTGGAGGCAGGTAAAGGTCACGACAGTAGGACACGGTACCAATTTGAACGCTGAATCAAAACCCTTCTATTTTGACCAAAATGGCAAGGCAAGTACCTTGATCCACGATTTTCTACGGGATTTCCTACACAGCTTTGTACTAGGATCCATCCAAAAGACCAATCTCGTTGGTTCGATCTTGCAAGATGCTGAACAGCTGGCATGCCACCACCGGGTATAGTACAGATCCTACTTAGGCCTACTGCGCTAACGTACGGAATGTTAACACTAACATTCGGAATGTTAGCGCTAACATACGGAACGTTAAATTAACGTTCCCAATGCCTTACTTAACGTAATTTCAATTGATGTTTTACGCGTAGTACTGTATGTACTACGGTACCGTATCAGAAAAAGTCGTTTACTGTTGATTTACTGTTGACTCATTCGACTATAATTAGAATTACATTTTTGAAATGATGTTTTCTCGTTTTCTGTTCCTCTTTTTCCAGTCGCCTCGTCACTCATCGCCTTTGACTATGGCTCTTTGACCATCTCATACCTCTGACATTGGTTGTGCTCTAGTGCCGAAATCGATGCCAAAAAGAGAAGAATACTTACGAGATAGCAAAGATGCAGGCATCACGAAGAATGAATACGAGAGCGCTAGGCTCTTTGATGGGTCAGAGGAAAAGCTTCAATCCGGCATCATCAGTGCGCCTTTCTACCATCTCAGCTTCTCACGCTTTTGGTTTTCCGACTTTCTCATCTCATAATTCAAGCCATCGTACTCCCTGCAGTCTACTTCACCGCAGTAAGAATAGGACAGTAAGATTTATGTCCTCTGTGGCGTCTTCGAAAATGAAACGGCTCATCGACGCCAATAAGGTATGCTAAACGGAAGCGAAGACAAAAACTGCTGCCCGAAAGAAGTATAGCATACGCCAACAAATATTCCTGTGACTTGGCTGCCTTGATTTAACCATCGAATATTTGTCGAGTCCGACTCAAACAAAACCGTCTTTTCCGCTCGCAATATACAGGTTGTTGTCTTCTCCAAGTCGTATTGCCCTTTCTGTGTGGCTACGAAAAACCTTTTCAAATCATTGGACGTAGTGGAAATTGAGGTACTAGAGCTCGATCGAATGGGGAAGGAAGGTGAAGAATTGCAGGTGGCATTGTTTCAAGAGACGGGTCAGAAATCTGTCCCAAACGTTTTTGTCAACGGAAAGCACATGGGTGGAAACGATGATACGCAAGCAGCGGCTAGGAATGGAACCTTGCAGGAAATGTTGAAGTCGGCTTGAAGTATCGCAATCGGACTACTCCATCAAGTTCGCAATTTTTATTTTAATCGTATAGTTTTCATATTACAAACCAACCAACATACCAGCTACGACAAAAAAGTATCGACCGCCGTGTTTCACCACCGTGCCTGAATTCTAGTGCAAAACGAACCGCACGCGAAAGTTGAATTATATTTCTGTTGCTAGTATACATTACATCCCAGACCCACTGATTTGTTGCCGTAAGGCTAATATACTTTGTTGTTTGTGAGGAGGAAGCTGAGAAATCATTTCGGGCGTGAGAGACATCACCTGTCGGACCAGCGCCGGATCTAGATTGGCGAGACCGGGTGCAGAGGGTGGAGGTGGCGGCTGCATCGGAGGTGGAGGAACCCCGTACTTGGGACGCGGTGGTGGGGCCATCGGAGGAGCAGGGATGGCTGCTGCTCTCGCACGGGGATCCACACGACCTCTCGGATCTGCTCGGGGCGGGGCCACCGGCGTCACTGCACTTCTTGGATCGCTCGCCATAGAACCCATTCCCGAGGAAGACGACGTCGATGCAGCAGCAGCTGCGGCCCGGGGATCCAATGCCCTAGCTCGGGGGTCGGCTACTCTTGTGGGTGGGACCGGCAACTGAATGCCCATTGGAGCAGCCTGGGGCATGCTAGATTTGACCGACAGGGCAGTTTGGACCATATCTAATTTACTCATGATGAATAGCATAGCCTCGGGCAATTGTGGGTGCCCGGCTAGGAGGCGACGAGCTTCGTCCGGGTCTCGATCAGCGATTTCTTTCATCTTTGCCACAATGTCGTACATTTCACCCTTGGACATGGTTTTCAGGGAATCCGCTACTGCGTTGGTGCCAGCACTATGATGAGGTTGTTGTGTCGCATTGTTATTTGCAGCGGACGATGAAGACTGCCGACTTTGATGCTGGGAGAGGTCCATTCCGAGTTTACTAGCCAGAGCTTCCAAGTGACTGCTATTGCTAAAGTTGACCCTCAAACGCCTGCCGTTTAGTTCGTAGTCGTTCATGTTTCGGATCGCACTAAGCGCCGCCTGCGGGTCCTCGAATTCGACAAAGGCAAACCCTCTTGGCTTGCCGGTTTCCACATCGGTAACCAATCGCACCTTTATCACGCGGCCAATCTCGGAAAATGTCTGGTGCAGCTGTTCCTCCGTCGTGTTGAAGGCAAGATTACCGACAAAAATGTCATGCTTCAATTGATTTTGTTGTTGCTGACCTGGAACATCAAATTAAATTATGCGAGGTAAGGAAACCGGTGAGATGAATACAGGGCGTTTGCTTTAATCGACAAATAAACATCAGGAGCGCATTTCATCACGTCCAGAACTTTCCGCACACAAATGCAGCAATTCAACAGCGGCATATTTAAATGTGTCGAAAAACACCCAGAACCGAACGAGCAATATCTAACCACCAGGTTCGATTTAGCCAATCTACCTACCTCCTCCCATGCCGGGTTGCATACTGTTGCCACCCCACATGATCCTTTCGATTTATCTAGCCCTGGAAAAAATGGATAGGGCGTTTTACGAACAGCTACTCGTATTGATATACACTTTTGATTCACAATCGCTGGATTCGTCTGGTTCTTTCGTTGTTAGTCGCTTTTGTAGTTACGGAGACGAATCGTACAGTCCCGTTCGTTCAGTACCGTACTTTGAATTGGCAACTGCTTCACGGTTCTCAGTTTCGTCGTCCTGTCAACACACTTTTTTATCTCTTTCGGGGGTATAACTACTCGTACCATACCTCAGGACCACCAGGTACATTGGCAGATCACGAGTTGCTACGCTGGTTGCTAGTGTATCCCTGTTACGTTCTGTATGGTTCGGCACCCGACGGACGGACGGAACTCTGAAGTGGGTAGAGAACTACGAGTACATGTACGAGTACTACTGTACGTACCGGCCAGTAGGGAGCATCACTAAACTTTGCATTGGGACTTTCGTTTCGTTGATGGTATTGTGAAGCAAATTACGTTCGCCGTACCGTACTACCGGTACAGTTCAGACAACATTGGAATAGGATGAGTCGATAGAGTCGATTTTCTTGCTCTAAGAATACCGTATGTACCGAACGTCCGTACCGTACGGTGTCTTGTCTTCTCCATCAAATACGTGCAGTAGTACTCGTACTTGGTACTGTAAGGTAGAAAAGCAACCATCAACGCGACGAAAACCTGCTAAACCACAGGTCGTGCTTGTCCAACAATTCGCCGAGTTTCACACTTCAGAAATAGCCGAGTCCAATGTCACAGCTGTTTGTCAATTAACCAGGAGCAGCAAGAATACAATCTACGAGGAAAGTTTCCGTTGCGATGCTGGGTTGAGATACGCATCATATTTTTGATCGTGCACAGTCCGTCGACCAACAAGCCGAAAGAACACGGAGGTTCTGTCTGTACGAAGCGGCCTGCATGTGCGATAATCTCGTGCTTTCTAATAGAACTCGACAAAAGCAATGGTGTGCAGCGATGCCGGCAGCGGTGATTGCGTCGGACTGAAACCAAAAAATTCTGGGCCGCACAAGTTACAACGTCGCCCGTCCCTGCGTCGTGCCCGATCATCGATTAACAACTTTACGAGATTCTCCTCCGAACTTTCCACTGAAGAACTACACTGTGCACAAGGCGAAGACAGAAACAGAGTGTGCGGTCCCTTCGCCCATCTCCGTAGATTAATTCTTTCGAAATCTGATTTTTACAAAAACTATTCGCGGGAACGCGAGTGGCTACAGGATGCTATTGTCGAAGACTTTTTGGACAACGTTGAAGACCCGAACATGTGTATTACTCCTTCCGAACCCTGGTTGATATTTACGGTAGGAGCAAGGGGTGCCGGGAAGCTTCATACCATTCACGATCTTGTGACAACGGGCCGCCTGCCGATTCTGAGCTTTGTTGAGGTCGATCCMGATAAGATCAGCAGAAGACTACCGGAATTCCAAACATACGACAAACTACTGGTCAATGAGTTGACGAAGAAAGAAGCAGGCTTTATAGCGCAGTTGTTGCTCTTGGCAGCGGTTCAAAACGGAAGAAATGTGGTATTCGACAGCGCGATGAGGGATTCTGCATGGTTTTTGAAGATCATAGAACACATTAAATGCTTGAATTGTTCGTCGTTTAAATTTGCTGTATTGCACGTAATTGCTCCCAATGAGCTTATTTTCGAGCGCGCAAAGGTAAGTGGTGTTGCAACGGTAGTTGTCTTCAATTCACCACAATATATTTCAGCCACTTATGTTGAGAAGTAAATTGTTCCCTCGTTCGTGCTTTCTGTCAACGAGGATAGAAAAAGGCTCTTGACACAGGAAGGGAAATTTCGAAAGAATCTATTTTGAAAAGCCTCGCTGCCATCCCGGTTTCATTGAAAGTGATTCGACCAAAGGTCGATTTCTTTTGCTGCATTGAGAACGCTGAAAGTTATTCACTTGAAGATGGGATGGATTGGGATACCTTTCGAGGCACATTTTTGCAATCTTGTCTATGGAAGCGGGGAATGAGAGGAAACCAAAAAATGTCAACCGAAACATTTACATCTAGACAAGTGGATGATATAAATTCACTCTCAGTTCAAAAAGCGAAAAAGAGAAGAGCATCATTTTCGGTTTTATTGAGTTCGACAGAGAACAATCAGTCCGACGACATGAACTTTTACGGGAAGTATTCTCATATTCGCAGAACGCTCGACTACTCCTATCACTCAAATTACACGTTTGAACGACAAAAACTCCACGATGCAATCATTACCGATATGCTCAATGAAGCCTACATTAGTGACGAAGATGGGAATGTCGGATTAGCAGCTAAAGATCCTTGGATTGTCTTCACTGCTGGTGCCATGGGGGCTGGGAAAAGCCATACGATGCTAGTTCTTGTGGAGCAGGAGAGGTTTCCTCTTCCGGCATTTGTAATCGTGGATCCAGATCAGATTAGACGACTTCTCCCGGAGTACCACATGTATGTTGCAAAGAACCCCGAGATGGTAGGAAAACTAACACAGAAAGAGGTACGTGCAATATGTACACTGGCGCCTGGACTTATTCTCTAGTCGATGATGAATTAATTACTACGATCGAAAAACAACGATCTTCACATTAAATAATATCATTTTCTTGCTTTCGTTCTCGATTGCCAGGCTGGATACATCGCGGAAGTCTTGACCCTTGCAGCCCTTCAGAGCGGAAAGAATGTTTTGCAAGATGGATCCCTTCGAGACCACGGGTGGTATAAGGTTCTTTTTCATCGCCTAAGGGAAGCGCATCCTCAAGTTCGGCAAGCGATTATCCACGTCACGGCTCCCAAGCAAGCTATTTTGGATCGGGCAGCGGTGAGTTCACAAAGGCAATCGAAGGCTAGCTTTAGATTTTGGGATCTACTTGGACTCATCGTCTTTCCCTCTTCGTTATCTCTTTCACGCAGGAACGTGCGCTACTGACAGGACGAGTTGTACCAGAAGAAATACTAGAACAGGCAATCCAAGAGGTCCCTAAGTCGGTCAAGATACTTGCGCCTTTGGTAGACTATTATGCAGAAATCAGCAATCCTCCAGATGCCAATGACGTTGAACTAGTGAAACCAGAAGGCTCGAATTGGGAGGAATTTAGACAGCAATGGATCCAGTACGTACAACTAATTTCACACATCTGACGATGGTCAAAGATGTTTCGTGTTGAACCATTTGGCTGACTTAGTTTTTCTGCTTGGCCGACTTCTCAGAACTGTTGCCTATATAAATAATCTAGAGAAGGTGCTACAAAAAGTTGAAAAGGCCAAAGATTCTCGATCTAAGAAGCATATATTTTGACTTTTTGCACCAATGTCGTATAGCCGAAGCTGCAACTACTTTAGTTCAAAATAACATTCTTATCATCTTTTTATTTGGAAGTAATTCTTTCTAGATGCCCGAAGCAATCACGTCAGATCTTTTCTAATGCTTCGCTTTTCGAAAGCTATATTAAACGTCTATGGTCTCCTAATTGATTTCCTTCGTACAACCGATACGATCGGATGGGGTTGTCTATCTTCGGTACCAGTGGGATGTGAAATTGAAATACAGCGACAGCACTCCTCGCTCAAACGTAGATCGGAAGCCACGTTTCCGAGATTTATTCCATTCCCGGTTTACAATTTTAAAAGCTATATCTTCATATGGCGGGCCGGCATGGAATCGCAAAATACAGAAGTCATCCGTGTCCGCACGTTCCAGGAAATACTGGGGAGTCTTCGTTGGATCAACCAAATCAGGATAAAACACATTGAACTTGTAACCCTGCACAATTTTTGGTGGAGGGTTTTCTGTATCGTAGTGAGTTTGGTTATATTTGTTCCAATCGAAACCTGTTCGAATACGATTGAAGTATCTGGGTTTTCGGGGTGCATAGCGATCTTGCCAGGAATAACCCCCTCCATTAGCCAGAGCCACTTCGTCAGACAATCCGAGTTCCTCTTCTAGATTGCCGAAATTTTCGTCCACATTTTTTGGTACCATAGATCTAGATGTCTGGTCTCCCATATTGTCGGAATTTTCTTCGGTATGCTGAGTTTTGATCGACTCGACATCCCTCTGTTGTTTCGATAAAAACTCTTTCCTGGACTCTAATTGCTCGAGCTGGCGGACTAACATTTTCGAATGTAATTTCGAGAGATCCATCTTTGCCAGATGAACCGATAGCTGCTTCAATACAGAATTCCAATAAGAAATATCATTTGCACCACCACTATCATTCCAACCTTCATTTCTGGATTTCACAACTTTACCCTTGATTTCTTCTTCCATTTTGGTCAAATCCGATCGTGATTGTCCGCGGAATATGTCCTTTATCCCTTTGACCTTCTTAGCGTATCGGCTCTCTTCCCCGCCATTCCGGAGGAACTCGATTTCATCCTTCACAACCAATGCTAGTGCGTCCCAGTACAGCGTGATGGTCGAAGATCCACTTCCCCCCATAGCTTCCTTTTCTAGAAGCCGAAAGGCTTCTATGTCACCCAAAAGTTCTTGTAATTCAGCAAGCTTTAGGATCCCAACAATGTTTTGAGGTTCCTCCAATTCGGCGTCCAGTTTCTGAAGCTCGTCTAGAGCATTGTACCGTTCTTGATACTTGACCGCCGCCCTTTGCTTCTTTTCTTCTTCTGTCAATCCAAAAATTAGCAAGTTTTTAGCAAGTATATCAACTGGCTTTTCTCTGCCCTCCACCAGTCGAATCGCCGATCGCTTCCGTTGCTGTTCGAGATGGAACTCTTCCTCCTTTTTGGCCCAGTCGTCGTAGTTTTCTAATTCTTTCATTCTAGATTCTTCTGCCCGCAGACGATCCATCTCCTCTCTCTCCAATTCTCGCTCTTTACGCCGGCGTCGGATTGTCTCTATTTCTTCAATCTTGTCAGGATTGTTATCATTTGACATTGTGTTCTTAGTTTTTGTCGCTTCCTTCTTCTTGTTCCACGTAAACGTCTCGTGCAAGTTTGGGTCATTGAACGGATTGTCTTCAGCAGTGTATCCAAATCGTGCTTGAATCTTGGCTGCTCGCTTTTGAGCTCTTCGTTCTTTCCGCTCCTCCAATGTCTCGCCGCGGGCATCTAGCTTAGCGAGTAGCTTTTTGTTCAGCACAACATTGGACTTGGTGCTCGTTCTTCGTTTCTTCTCATCTATGGATGAGTCGTCACTGTCGTCTGATGACGACGAATTGGAACTGGAAGAATCACTGTTTTCGGACGAAGAGCTGTATCTTCTGCGCCTTTTTTTGCGTTTCCGTCGGCTCTCCTTTCGAGACGATTTTCTCGAACGTCTTTCCCGGCTGCTACGGCGATCGCGTCTGCGATGGCGACCCTCTTCCTTTCTTCGTTTTCGACTTTTTCGCTGACTACTTTTGTCGAGTTGAGATTCTTCTTTCGCGGAAGTCTTCGACGGAGGCGAAGTTCGAGAAGGATTTTCTTCCTCCATCTCCAAAAGCGATTTGTTTGGTCTTCCAATGGCGGTAGCGGAGATCGGAAAAAGTACACGCTAACTTTGATCTTTTCGTGGAAAGAGATGTAGCGTTCTGTGATTACCAGTCCGCCAACTCTGTCGATGGATACGAGTAGCTGAGCTGAAGATGGTGTGAGTGATCTGCATTCCTCCCCTACCGGCCGGTACGTATACTTTTTTTGGTGGTTAATACTGTAGTACAGTAACAGACACGTACGTACTGGTACTCAACAGTACGTAGGAGAGAATTCTGTTTTTTGGCCGTTCTTGTGCAGGTGCATACACATGCTACATGTGCGAGAAAGTATTTGACCCATTCGATTTTAGAATGACAATAAATGTTTTGAATTTTCAAATTTTCTCAAAAACTTCGTTTGAGCCGAAAGAGATTAACAGCGAGAACAACAAACACTGAGAACAATTGAACGTGACAAACAACACAAGCAACGCAATGCAAGGACATTGACCGAAAACTTCTGAGTTACAATACCCACAGGACCTGTAATATCGCGTCGAACTTAGAGTGTGTTTCGTATTCACAACGACTCGAACACTAGTCGGCATAATCTCCGAGCGCATCGTTAATTAATTAGCAGGTCGAATAAAACAACCATGGCAATGAACAATAGAAGAATCGCACGGAACAAAGCCGTGCCATTTTTCGTACTACATCTCGCCGACGCAAGATTCAAAGCGTTGTTTACGGTCCCTTCCGGTATGGCGGAAACACTCATTTTACATCCGATTCTATGCCGGGGAGGGAGTTTTGATCTGACGATCGATCTCGTGAGTCAAAATGATTCGATGCAAAGTACCAGTACCAGCTTTCTATCAACTGAATTCTCCAGTTCATATCCTGAAGAAACAGCCCGTGCTATCGCCGAACGAATTGCTATACGGCAAGAGGATCCCTCGCCGGCCGTCTCGCATCTTTTCGGAAGATAAAAATGTACAATGGTGGTGGGGATTGCAATACAAGATGGATGTCTCCATTCGACGGCATCATGCAATTGAAACGAGAAGCCATGCTCACGTTTTGCTCCATACAAGATGTCCAGGTTGAAATGCATCTGGTAGTGAAATGAATAGAGGTTCACAAAGAATACTCTTGCTGTCTTTGCCTTAAAACACCTGAATGATGGTTCGCATGGTTCCAGTTTCGGAGTTGCTGTTGAAACAGAGAAAGCCTAGAGGTCTCCCAGCGCCTAGGTGCGAATGGGGCAAGACAGTAAACTGAATTAATGTTGGTAATGTAGATTGAATGAGGAAACTGAGATGTATATACGATGGTTACAAGAACAGCTGGAGGGTTGCCAACAGCTGCTGGTGGATACAGAGCTGGCAGATTATGGGACTTTGAAGTTGAACAGATCTTGTTGAGTTAGTGGATCCAAGGAAGCTTTGCAAGTAGGGACAAGCTGAATAGAACTAAAGATTATTATAGGAGTAAATTCTGGTCGCGCCTCCACAAAACCTCCTTGGAGGGAGGCTCCGCCCCTCGTAGCAACTAGAAGCATTCTTTCTAAAAGCTATGGTTCTGGCCATCTTAGTGCCTCTTCTAGTTCATGAGGTTAAATATAATATTAAGATTTTTTTATTATAGGAGTGAATTCTGGCAGTTCTAAGAGCTTGTAGCTCATATTTTTCAAAATAACATAGGAATAGAGAATAAGGTAGAGGATAAATAACACTTTATTTGACTCACTCAGGTGAAAGCTATCTGGCCATAGGGATTGGTATCTTTCCCATCATCAAAAATTGTTTTGAGACTCCTAGTACCAGTTGAAGAATCTTGCAGCACCACCAGCAGAACCTTCTCCTTACAGAGCAGCAATTTACAGTGCTCAATCACAATTTTCAAGATCAGGAGGAGTAGGTCCTGGGAACTCATTTCCCCCAAATAATCAAAATGGACATGGTTCCTGGAACAAGAATGCCAGTTTCAATTTTTTCAGAAAAATCAGATCCCCCAAAATCCCTCCGTGTGGCATCCTTATTTCATTTTTGTGGTTGCAACGGATACGTACGTATTGTATTGGATACGTACGTACTGTATCAGAAGTATACGTACGTTCAATACTTCCTTGGAATGGACAGACATACGTCATACAAAGCACTTTCATCCCGGTAATATTTTCTTGCAACACACAAACAAAATTTTCTTCCCTATTTTGTCGCGCGTTTCAGCAAATTTCTMCCCCCACTATGCGCRCAACAATGTCGCATGCCCTAGTTTCCCTACCCTAGGTAGCTAGGGCTGTTTCATCCTAGTTTTGAAATTTCCCAATTTCGGTTCAATAATCTGATCTTTCTATTGAAACTTTTGT